GATTAAAAATATCTTGATAAGTCCAAGTATGATTGGTTTCCTTTATATATGAATTATATAGAGTGCTCAAAGAAATTATGTTCATATTTTCACTGTAATTACATTGAGGAATAGGTTGAGGCATAAAAACACCTGTTTCATAATTGCAAATGTATACAGAAGCTGGTGGAAATTCAAATTCCACTCCAGCAGGACAGTTTATAGTACATGAGTAAGTATTATCTATATTCGAGCAAAAAAAGCCTCCATTGAAACCCATTTTCTCTCCATTACAGATATTAGTAGCTATATTGAAATTAATTATTCAATTATTTAAATCAAATAATATTAAAATAAATAAATTATGCTTACAATATTGGCATTGAGATCCTCTATATGCTTGAGGACACTGACAAAGATTCGATGGAAGACAATTACCACCATTCTGACAAGGTGGTTCACAAACAGCTATAATGAAACAAAAATATGGAAATTTTATAAATATAGAATAGCATTTAAGTGAGAACTTCTTTTATTTATAATTTTATGGATCAAGTTCTCAGATCAAGATTACATTATTTGAGAGAATTGAATTAACTGTAAAAATTAACAATAATTGAATTAATATAAATTATAAAAAAAAATTTAAAGCATACGTTCACAATCAGGTATCGAAACCCAGTCTTTTCTAGTAGGTTCCCAATTTCCATTTTTGCATAAAAGATTAGTTACGGAAGTACCATCCGGAAACGTAAAATTCTTCATGCAAGATATAGTACATGATCTGATAAAGGATTTGGAACAATTAAATATTTAATATATATTTTAAATAAATTCAAATTTTAAATTTTTTAGAACATACTGTAAATTGCATATTTTATGTGCATTAAGCACTGGAGCAGGATAATTTAGACATGGTTTTTTCTCAAATTGACATTGTGGTCCAGTAAAGTCTTCAGGACAATGACATTGATGAGGTGCAATACATACCCCGTTATTCAAACATTCTGGCAAACAAATTGCTAAAAATATAAAAATATATTTATCCATATTACATTTTTTATAATGAAAAGAATTTCATGATTTTATGATTTAATGGAACTCACGTTCGCAATGAGGAATAGAAATCCAATCTGTGCCATGAATGTGCCATTTTTTGTTCATGCATGTTATAGCTAATTGTGTCACCCCATTAGGAAATTTATAATCATGCTTACAAGTTGCAATACATCCACTATAAAAAAAATTTATAAAATACTTGAATATAATAAAAAAAATTAGTTATTAATTTATGAAGAGTTACCTATCTATAGAACATCTTATTTCTCCATTTATGGGTGAATCCGGTTGCTTGCTACAACCCCCTGGAATAAAAGCTGTTTTGTTTTACTTTTTATATTCTTCATACCTTCATAGTTCAATTTTGAAATATCATTTAATGGGATAGTCGTCCTAAATAATTAAAATTATAATTAAATTCAATCTTAAAGAAGCCAAAGAAAAACAGAAAGTTACTTACTCTGTTATGTCAGAAGATTTCAGAAGATTATCTCCAATGACAAATTGATTAAAAATGATTATAGCAATATTGAAAAAAAGTTTCCACAGCATGTTAATGTCTTTGATATATTATAATTAAAAAAAAAAGTATGAAATCTTTTTAGTAAATCTCCTCTCATAAAGTATATAAATTAATACAGTTTTTCTTTTATATAGCCACCTTGAAAAGGAAGCGGATAACCGATAATTAAAATCTGCCTTGATAAATAAATTCGACGAAATATATAGGTCATTAGTGGGATTGATATCAAGTTTAAAATTTGTAAATTAACAGAAGAATTCTGAAAAAATTAAGAATTTATTGTTATAGAATTAGATTTATACAATAAATATTAGATAAAAATATACATTAAAAATGTAATATATATAATACATATAATAGTATGTAATGTTTATTAAAAATATAATATATAATATATCAGGTACTATTATAGTCCACTTGTAATTAAAAATTATTCTTTCGAACAATTTTTGTGTCGATTATTGCTATTCAAGATTAGAGAAACATGAAGATTGTTTCAACATATTCTTGACATATATTTAAAATTCGATTTATAATTCTATTATCAGAGTTATAAGCATTAATGAATTCTTAATTAGTTAGATAAGGCAACAATGGCGTAACAACGGAAATAGTTATCAAACAACACCACTTTGCTATTCCCATATTTATCACATCAATGTAACTCATTACTAAACTATATAAAACTTGATAAATTTTTCAAATTTCCATCAATTTTCTAAAAATTGTTCAAATTGTTCGATTCAATTGTTTAAATAATTTTAATAATTAATGTAAAACTATATAATGTAATATAGACAATATTGCTTTTTAAAATAATTAATAAATGATACATAATTATACTAATAAAATAACTTTAAAAAATTATGACTTTGATAAAACACCATTATATAAAAATTAAGGAAGAATAATTTATTTAGATTCTGAATCTTTAATCTGATAATTATTGTTAATTAATTGTTCTGGTTCAGAATATTTTGAGTGCCATATTTCATAATACATCTCACTAGAAATATTATTTAAATGTGTAATATTAAATTCTTCTTTTAATGCAACTTTCCATACCTGAAAACAATAATATTTCAATTAATTCCAATTTCTTTCTTATTATAACAATTTTATAATAAGATAATAATTATACATCTTCATCTGATATAGATGTTGCTACTTTTCTATTTCCAAATACAGCTTTCTTCTTTAAGACATAAAAATTATATAATAAATAACTAAAAGTATACATTTTTTCAGATTCTTCTATATTAAAAGTAACAGACATAAATGAGCAACACTCATTTTTTATTGGATACAAAGCACGAGTCCAATAAGTACTAGTTTTAACAACACCCCATAATAAAGATTGCAAAGAATATCCATGGAAAGTGCCTCTCTGATACTGATCTCTTGTATCAGAAGGATAAATTCCTATAGAAGCCAAATGTTTGGCTGAAAATAATTAAGAATGATAATTTATTTAAAACTTATATGAGATATATTAATAAATAATAAAAGATTTACCAAGATAATAATCTTCCTGTTTCCAATATTTGCCACTGATTACACATTTTTTTGAATTATCAAACATATTAATTAGTTTTTTAAGAACGCCCATGCTAATTACATATCCTGCATTAGCAACATTATATGGTTGACCCCATAGAAATATTGCATGACCTAGATAATGATCCTGAGTATGATTTAATGGAGCAAGCATATAACGCAAATTTTCAAGAATCACTAATGTATCATCTCTTACAAAGATAAGCCACTCTAAAGTTTCATTATTTCTCCAAATATAATTAAAAGCTTCACAAAGAAGTTGCCATGAAGATACTAATTTTATTTCAAAATTTATAATAGGCACTTTGATATCTTTTAATTGACCAAAAAAGTATATTCTATTACAATGTTTTCCCCAAGTATTTTGGATAGCTCTAGCTAATTTAATTTTTTTTACAAATACAGCACAAGTGATGTGAACATGTGATTTCAACCAATTAGATTCTAATTCCTCCTTTTTTTCAGATCCATAAAGATAAATATCCATATCAATATTACTTAATATCAATTTTTTATTATTCAACCATTCACTATATGTTGTTTTATTCCAATTTTGAAAAATAATCTCCTTGCTGATCCATGTATCAGACATGAACCATTTAAAAAGAGTATTCTTATTTGTAGAATATAAATTTAATGCAGATTTTTGGCAATCAGAAATGTTGCAAAATAAATGTTGACTAGTAAATAAAAATATTGCAAAGAGAAAACCAATTCCAAATCCAATCAGAAAAATAGATCGTAATTTAAAACGGTAAGGACACATCTTATAACTTTAACATTGATTTAATGTAATACATCTCTATTATAGTACTTTTCTTTTGGAAATATCCATTTATGATCTAATAACATTAATTGACTCTTGTTAAACTCATAAATACTTAATTGCATTAGATCATTTTAATCATGAGCTTTACATTTAAAATCATAATATCTAAAATATCAAAAAATAAAAATAATAAATAATATATTATTATAAAAATTATATAAAAGAATTGTCAAAAAATTGTTATTACGTTATGTTTATTTATATTGTTAATCATTTTATTAATAAAAAAAACTAAGTTAAGAACAACAATAACACTATTTTCTTGTAAAATATACTTTTCTTTTATACTTTTGTGTAACTTTTTAATAAAACTAAACGCTATAATAAATTAGGTCAACAGGTGGAATTATATATATGCTATTATACGTGACATAACCAATCATTTTGACATATATACATATATATATATATAATATATCTTATTTATAGAATATACATACATAATAAAAATAATTATAAATTTAATTAATATAAATATGTATATTATTTATTTAGATGGTTGTAAAATATTTTTCATAAAACATATTTTAATTTTTAAGAAATTAATTTTTACTTGTAAATTTTAATGTAATATTAATTACCTATAATATTGATATAGAGATTTCAAAATAAACTAAATACGTATTTGTAAAAGATAAAGATTAACAAAATAAAAAAAATTTTTCAAATTTTAAAGATAAATTATTTTTATTTATTATTATAAAGAAAGGTTAAACCTTGTCTTTACAATATATAATTACAAAACATAGTTTTATATTTAAGAAATGAATCATAATATGATATAAATGCTTAATATCTATTTTTTTGTTTTTTGTTAGCCAGGTACTGTGAAAATATTTATATTATACAATAAAAATTTATAAGATGGTTAATAATTTCACAATGAAATCCTTAGAAAGTAAACAGAGATCTATTTATATTTTTCTATATAGATGAATTATATCTTTAGTTTTAATATTTTTATAAATACCATAAAATTTATTTATATAGTAAATAGCTTTAAAAATCGAAATATGAATTTTAAAAAAGTCAAAGATTACAATTTTTTGCAAATTTGATTAAAAACTAACTTTTCCACGAATTTTAAAAAAACCTAAATTATTTCTGTTATGTACTAATGCACCTACACCAAAATAGTTTTCTATGATAATAAGTCCATTTCTTACACTACAATCTGATGGCAAAAAATTTTTAATACATGATTGAAAATCTTCAACTTTGAACTTTGCCTTCTCAGCTTCAGATCCTATAAATAATCATCATAGTTTTGCAAAAAATTATTGATATAGTTGTATAAATGAAATATGTTTACCTTTGTACCAAAATAATGGATGACTAGAATAAGTAAGCCATGGTATATCTTTTGCAAATGGATTCCATTTTTTTATTAATGGTAATGGATTACCTTTATTCCACATCAATCTTATTCCAGACATGTGCCTTTTCCTGAAAATTCAATTTAAATTTTGTATAGCAATTATTACTTTTATTTTAATTATTATATTTGACATTTAAAGATAGATATATTTGAAACATAAGTATTGTATTTTCACTAAGCAATAAGTAGCAAGCATAAAAATAAATAATAATAATGAAATAAATAAGTTGTTTTACTATATAATTTGCATTTCAATTAAAGGAAAATTATTTAAAGATAATTACATAAATTTAGAATATACAGGAATATTAATATTGTTAACAAAAAACAACAAAATAGTGCACAGCAATTCTTTTTAAAATAAGAGGGGTCTTTGCTTTACATAAAAACACAGTGTACCTAGGTTCAAACTGTGCAAGACCTGTACAAGAAACAAGAGAAGACCACTCTTGACGACCTGCACAATGAATTATTGATGATACACCCTCAGCCAATCCACTTAATCGTCTAAAAATCGTTCATAAATTTATAAAAAATGAATCCTAACTATGAATTTTTTGTCTATAATTTAATTGTAAATTTTTATTATGAATTTTATAATGATACTTACGGTGCTAGAGATGAAGGAGGATAAACTAATTCACCCAAAACAAGTGTATCAATTTGCAACAAAGGTATTCGATTATATTCTAATATTTTTAAGGAAATGAAATCATATTTTATTGAATAAATAGCTTTGTTAGTTAATATTACTAATCTTTCCTTTTCAATATCCCATAAACTTATTCTATAAATATTTTTTAATATTAATCTATATGTTATATAATATAATCTAATAAAATTTGTTATATCAAATCTCCTACTCTGTTAAGAGCCAGCTTCCAACAATATCCTTTTCCTCTTCATTTATCAAACTTTCCTGACAATCTTTTAATGCTCTATCAACAACTTCATTTCTATCAGAGAAAAATGAATGAGTATCTATATGCTTGAAAGGCATATTAGATACATCCCTTGTTGATGGAACTTGACTTGAAATATACGCTTCATTTTCTCTGTTCTTTTTTGTAGTATCTATATTTTTTAAAAAATTAAAAATGAATATATTAATATGTTAAAATTATAAAAAGATAATTTCACAAAAATCTAAAGATCAAAATTGAAAGAAACAAAAAATATTAATATTTATATCATCTTAATATCATTAAGATAATAAATTCACAGAAATATTGTAATTGATATTATATATAAAATATTTACCAGCAAAAACAGCATTTTGAATGTTAAATTCGTTGCTATCAAGTTCTTTAGTAATTTCTAGTGTAGCTGTTTCGAAATTTCCCGGTGGTCCTTCATCGAAATAAGTTTCATCCATAGTTGCAGGTTATGACTCTTCTATCTAATTAAGAATCTCTTTTTTTTCGTTATTTACAACGTTAAATTTAAACAATTTACAAAATATGTCTAAATGAATATTTTTTTTCGTTCAATAACTTCTATAATGTTAACAAGTTCCAATTATATTATATTATTCAATAAATTGCTATGAATAGTTTGACATTTTAAGTAATCGTAAGAAGCGCCATATTTATGAAATTTATATTTGCTATTGATAATATTATCTACAAATAAGAAATTTGTAATTTTCCTTTAAAGGAAAGTTGACTATGCATGAAAAAAATTATTAAAGAAATTATTATAAAAAATCTTTAAATGTGTTTAGAAATTGTATGCGTTATATTTATAATAAAAGACAGTGTTCGAACAAAAATAAGATTTCTTTATTAAATATCATTGACAATGTGAAAATTTCAAAGTATAACAAATCTAGACAATCGTTGTATACATTGTTAATACATTAATTGTTACTTGTTAATTATTATACACACACACATATATATATATATATATATATATATAGTAGNTACAGGTTATGACTCTTCTATCTAATTAAGAATCTCTTTTTTTTCGTTATTTACAACGTTAAATTTAAACAATTTACAAAATATGTCTAAATGAATATTTTTTTCGTTCAATAACTTCTATAATGTTAACAAGTTCCAATTATATTATATTATTCAATAAATTGCTATGAATAGTTTGACATTTTAAGTAATCGTAAGAAGCGCCATATTTATGAAATTTATATTTGCTATTGATAATATTATCTACAAATAAGAAATTTGTAATTTTCCTTTAAAGGAAAGTTGACTATGCATGAAAAAAATTATTAAAGAAATTATTATAAAAAATCTTTAAATGTGTTTAGAAATTGTATGCGTTATATTTATAATAAAAGACAGTGTTCGAACAAAAATAAGATTTCTTTATTAAATATCATTGACAATGTGAAAATTTCAAAGTATAACAAATCTAGACAATCGTTGTATACATTGTTAATACATTAATTGTTACTTGTTAATTATTATACACACACACATATATATATATATATATATATATATATAGGCATTGGCCTTATAAAAATCATATTTGAATAGAGTTGACCATTTTGAATTTTACATATTTGTACAAATTTTTTAAATTATTTTTTCATTATTTTTTATTTTTGTAATATTAGAAGAATGTATGGTTAATAATACTTAGTTAATGATATAATTATGTTATCTTTATACAACGAACGACATAAAAAATATATAGTTTATAATCACAAAGAAAAAAATAATCTATAAGATATTAAACACGTTAATATAGAAAATAAATATCCTATACTACTATAAAAACTTTGGTTTGTGTTATTTTTTCTATTTTTATTTCTATTCAACTTTAAGTAATATTTATCCCAAACAAATGAATTTATTATATCTTACACGCATTAACGTGCGTGTGTGTTCGCGCGCGCGCGCGTGTGTGTGTACATATATACATTCTATAAAAAAATTTTGTATTTTCTTTTCAGAGTTCCTGTTTGATTTTACTTGTACGTTAATATACAAAATGTATTGTATACATGTATATATGTGCTATCTGTGCGATAACTTAATATTTTTTTTAAAGAATATTGTCTGAATTGCCTTTATATTCGAATTTTTTGCAGAAATGGTATTTCGCATCAGTCTTATTATCAAATTAGTTTTAAGCGTAATAAGGCATTATTACATATGTTATTGAAAAAATAAAAAAAAAAAAAGCAAGAAATATACAAGAAAACCAAAAAATAAACTAGCATACAAAATATACATTATTGGCCAAAAATTTGGATCACTTATTTGTTTTTAATTATTTCGGAATCAATATTGAAATGAATATAAATTAATATATTTTAATTTTCGATGAAAATTTTTTCTAAAAACATAGTGATTTCAAACTTTTGGTCAAATACAAAATAAATGTTTATATATAATTATTTGTAACTACTTATAGTACTGTACATCATCTAACATATTATCCGAAGAAGAAAGAGTCAAGCTACGTTCCTCGTGCATTCCTTTAGCGTAATTAATTTGTTGTGATACCTATAATAAAATTGAAATAATATAAATATATTAATAATGAATAAATAAATTTTATATACTGACTCTTTTGGCTACTTCTTCATTGTCACACCGAACTTTAGGTCTTCTTAGAAGTTCTGGACCGTCCATGTTAACGGTTATCGTTGAATCTGATCTAGATATTAATTCAATATAGTATAAAGTAACACCATTACTTTCTAGCTTATGCATTGGTTGACAATATAATAAGTCCGCTAGACTGACTTCGGTTACAACTCCTTTGGTACCTCCGGAAATCACTCGAACTCTTTCATTAGAAACAAGAATTCTTAAATTTTCCGTTCCACTACGTAAACACTCATATGCCACAAATAATTCTGAATAATTATGTTCATTTATTATATAAAGAAATTCTTGGCCCTCTGCTTGTTGACGATTATAGGGTGGTAACAGACCAGCAGAACCACTTGCCACACGAGGAGGTCTATCACGTTTTGGTATCGTACGATGAGCACTGAAGATATGAGAAAAATATTATATATTAAATATTATTAAATATAATCTAGAAGATATGTACCTTCTACTAGTTTCTCTTACAGCAGTAGCAGTTTCTGTGGCAAGATCTAAAACTCCTACAACAGGTTTCGTAATAGTTCCGACAACTCCTTTTCCAAATCCAGCAAAAAAACCCTGGAATTATTTATATATTCAATTAGTTTATTACTTTTATTTGTAATTTTAAAGAACGCACAGGAAATCCTTCATTCGTTGCTCCATCATATGTTTGTTTAAAGATGCTAGTTACTCCTCCAAGCAATCCAAAGCCAAAACCTTTTAATCCAGCTACTAAATGATCACTACTGCCTGCAGTATTAGCTCGAATTCTTTGTCTAGCTTCTTCATGCCTTTCATCCATTATTACTCTTCCTAATCCATCAGAAAGAGACTCTGTTACTTTGGCAGCAGAATTTGATATACCATGAGTAACATTTTTTACTAAAGTCTTCACACTTCCTTCATAGATTAAACCAGAGACTCCTTCTGTGACATCATTCACAAAACCTAAAGGATTACCTAAAAAGTCCACTGATCCTAATATCACGGCAGCTTGCCATTTTAATTCCTATAAAAAAGAAAATATAATAACTCGAAATAAATCAATAAATAAAAAATTGTGATGATTCATACATCTTTATAGTGTTTTATAATGGAATGTACTAGGAATTGAGTGCTTTCAAATGGATGTTTCTTAATAAATGGTTCCAATTCAATGGTAGCATCTTCAAATTTAATTAATGTTAAACCTAATTGTCTTTTTATAGCTTGAAGATGTCGTGGTAGTTTTGTTGTAGTAAGCACGCTTAATTTTACCTGTATACAAGAAAATATGTAAAATATTTTTTTTAAAATAAGTTTTATAAATAATTTTAATTTTTAAAACTAACTTGACTAGGAACAATCTTTAAAGCGCCAAAATAGTATCGTTTAGCATGTGCAGCTGATACTTCGGAAATAAATCTCTGAGCTTTGAAATCATTCTCATCCATAGGTACTTCCAATTCTGATCTACCTGCCCCGACAAAAGCAACCAGCTTTAATATTAATTTCTCTTCTAAATGTATACATAGTGGCTTAATGCTCACTACAACATGTTTATATATTTCTGCATTTTGATTTTTCGATTTTAATTTTTCTGCAACCATGTGTACAGCTGGTCTATGCTCATTCTCAGCTCTAGTTGGACGTGTTACATAAAGAACAGAAGTACATTGTGCTTCAAAGAGTTGATTATCAATTTGTATATCTTTCATACTTAAATCTAGAGTGGTATTAATAGGAGTTTGAATCAATTCCAGAGAAATACCGGCCATACGAACAAATAATAACTCTTCAACTGGTCTTCGAGAAACAATTGATAGTCCTAAACCAGTTGTTAAACTAATTTTTAATTCCAATTCTCTAGAATTAATTTTTTCTGCATCATTATTTATTTGTGTTGGTCGGTGGCTGACTGCAATGTGGGACCAATCACGTTCTTCTAATAAAGCAAATGTTTTTTTCTAAAAAAAAAAAAAAATCAGAAATTGATATATTATTATCTTTAAAGTTTTAGAGATATAGAGAGATTGTAAATTATTATATTTAGAAATATTAATTAATATTGAAATATTATAACTTTAAAAGAAAATGGAAAAATTACTTTTAATTTTAACTTAATTCATTTAGTAAGAATTGAATTTTAATTTTATTTATTTTAATTCAAATATTAAAAAAACTTTCCTTTGAGAGCTTTTTTTCAAAATTTTGAAAGAAATTATTATTAATTTACTAATATATGTTATATTTTGATTATTTTAAAGAATTTTAATTTTTTGTAATCTATTCTTATTATTATTATTATTTTTTTTTGTAATCCATTCCAAATTGACATTCTATGATGCTTGTGACATTTCTTTAATTTCTTTTAAATATTTTAAGTTTTTATTTCGATGAGAATATAATATAAATATGTAATTTATTTCTTTAATATTACAATCTCACTATATCATTATATTCTATTGTACAATTGTCCAATATTCATACCCTTTCTTTGATATCTAACACTTGTAACACTCTTGTTGGACCATCAGTAGTTATTGTAACAGACAAAAATCCAGATCCTGGTCTCAGTTTTTGTCTACCAACACGTTGTTCAATTGGAGGAGGATTAGTGTGCGTTTGAGGACCTAGTACTGCTTCACTCCCTAAAAAGATATGCAAAAGCTGCATATATGTATATTCCTATGAAGATCCAGTTGCTGTATCAAGAATTCAAAATTAAAATAATATTTCATGCATTTTATCCGATGAACGTAGCGTTAATAAAATAAAAAAACAAGCAAAGTTCGAGCACATAAGATATTCATAATTGATGATTTTAATGTACTCCGAATCTATACGTACACATTTGCCAACGGGCGACACTGCCGCCTGCAACATTATCATTATGAGTATAGATTTACAAGCATAATATAATTCAGATAATAAACGGAGAAAACAGCTTAATTTTATATTTCATATTAATTTATCTAGATTAAATAATATAAATATTGATTCATATAGAATTGCAATTTACTTGCATTGAAATATATTTTTTTTAACTT